GAAGGTGTGCAAAAGCCCTCTTAGCCACGGCTGCCACTTGCTCTTCCTGCAGGAGCCGTGTGCACTGGGTCCATCTGGGACCGTGCCACCCCATCCGGAACCAAAGAATTGGGACCGGAATTTCCATTGCTAAGTGATATGGTCATAAAGCGTGATGTCACGTGACCACACCACTTAGCAATGGCAGTTCTGGCAATCCCCAGTTACCATTGTTAAGTGAGGACTGCACGGGTCATTAAGCAAGGACCTCACATGATTGCGACTTCTGACTTCCTGCCGGCTTCCCCGTTGACTTTGCTTGTGGGAAGCTGGCAGGGAAGGTCGCAAATCGTGATCATGTGACTGCGGGGGTGCTGCAATGGCTGGAACTTTGAGGACCAGTCCTAAGCACCACTTGCTCAGTGCCATCAGAAGTTTGAACCATCGCTGAATCAATGGTCATTAAACAAAGATTACCTGTATCATAAAAAATAACACTCTTAAAAACGAGATGTCCAAATAGTAAATCCAGGTGCTGAGTTTTTGTAATATTTATTATGTCTGCTATGTAAGTCAGGATGGGGTTGCAGAGATACAATGGTGAGGCATTAACTTGCTTGGGAGAAAGGCCAATCTCGGGGACATTCCCCACATCTGCAACAGTCCATAAGGATGCACTGAATGCTGTCTGTTGTGGAGAGGGGTCAAAAAAGGATAGGGGAAAGGAAACAAAAAATATTCTACAAAGGGCATGGCTGGCACACTGTACAGGTTTGTATAATGGTAGTTTTAACAGACTACTTATGACCAGGGCAGAGAAACAGACTAAGAGCTTTTCTCTACTGCGGAATGGAAGTGCTATTCACTCCTCCATGAGCCAATCTTTCGTGCTAACAATTTGCCATCCCCATTGCCAGCTCTTATCTTCCCTCTCTTCCCTATCACTTCCAGTCACCCGACTTTTTTCAAGTGACAAAGATAACAGGTTACAAGTCTAATAGATTTTATACACCTTGAGGTGGCTGCCTATGGACAGCCACAGAATCAGCGGAGGGGGGGATAATACTTTGGTAGAATCAAGGAGGACTTTAGCCTGCCTCACTTAGGGGCTAAGGAAGAGTTGAAGGCAATGGCATAGGAAGCGGCAGGGTAGGGGGGAAAAACTTGGCAGGCAGGTTTGCGCTGTGATTAGGTACAAATGGGGAAGGCCCTCAGCTGGTGAGTCAGGGGGAAAAGAGGAAGAAAGTTTGACACCAATCAGGAGGAACAGGAATATGATAAGAATCTGTTGAAATGGCTCTAACTCACAGGCAGCTGGGGGGAGGGGTGTGGAAGCAAAGTGGGGTAAATTAAGATGCCTATTTACACAATTATGTACTTATGTTGTGACAGCTGACACAAGTAGGCAGTCTGCTTCATTTGCCTGCACTGTCGTCATTTGGATGTCATTATGGCTTGTTACAGCATCTATGCTTCACATTAATCTAATTATTTGTCCTTGCTCTGTTGTTCAGGGGCTTCCAACACTTTGTAACCCAAAGGTCATGTCACCAAGATTGTTTGTTAATAACTGCCTGTTCTTAAGCTCCTGCTGGTATCATCAGTGATACTATCTAGTCTCTTTCTCTCCTATTAGCTGCTGCTGCTGCTGCTTCTTCTTCTTCTTCTTCTTCTTCTTCTTCTTCTTCTTCTTCTTCTTCTTCTTCTTCTTCTTCTTCTTCTTCTTCTTCT